CCTGGCTTCTCCTGGCCAGCCTGCCCCACAGTCAACAGTAGGCCAGTCCAGGGCAAGTGCCAGCTCCCTTTGCTTGGATGGGAAATGTGCAGGCGGCATCCATGACCCGAGGCACGTTGGGGGTCAGAACTGGAGACTTCGGGGACCCGGGTGCCCCCTAAATGATTCTGAAGATACAACCTCAAACAGCAGAGTCATTGTGACCGAGTCAATTCCCACTCAGAACGAGTCTGGAGGACAGGGTGCAGCGGTCCCTGTGGGTGTCTGAGACTCCCACTCTTCACGGGCGGGCGGCGGGAGTAGGAAGTCTCACCTTTCTCCTGCGAAATGCCTGGTGGTTTTGAACTGCTGACTTGACCTTGGAGTTAGCAACACAACACCTAACCACGGTGCCACTGGGGCTCCTTTCTGAAGATGCAGGAGAGGGCTCACCGCTTCTTCAGCAGGCAACTTGCTCCTGCCTGGACCCTGGGGGGACTTGGGACGGAGGAGATATCAGGTTCTGGTTTGGAGTCTGTCTTGGAAACGGGAGGTTTTTCGTGACACAGGACTGGAGAGGAGAAGAACGAAATGGAGCAACGAGAGCGTTTTTGGAGCCTGGTGTCCTGGGCCGGGGACCTGCCACCTCTTCCACTGATCTGTGTGGAGCACCGAGCACCCTCCCAGAGTCTCTGCTTCTTGCCTGCAGGTGGGCCCAGGGGAGGTGGCTTTCCCCAGGCTGCAATGGTGGCGGGGTGGGGGGGTGGGGGTTGGGGGTGGTCATGGCTGGGCAGCGTGGTTGAGGCAGAGCACTGGGAGGTGTGGCTGGAGCAATTAGTCACGTGCTCAGTATGTGTGCCGAAGGTCGGGAGGAAAGCAAAGGTGACCTCATCGGGGAGTTTTACATCCAGCTCGCTTGTCAAGGTTGGCGTCCTTGGCATCCTGCCCCCAGGCTCCTGCTTGGCCCTCCTCACCCCACTGTCCTTCAAGCAGCTTTATTTCCCAAGTTTTCGTGGGGGGTGGGATGAAGGAATGCTTGCAGAGCTGATCGGTTTTCCATTCAACAATGCATACATGTTGTGTGTCATGTCATTGCTTGCAATCCCACAGTGCACCACCACTCATCCCAGCTCCTCCCTGTGCCTCCTGGTTCCATTCCCACCTTCCCCCCTCACCTTTCTGCATGGTGTCCGTGGATTGATGCTGCCCTATGGATCTGACACGAGTGATTAATCTAAGGTGAGCATACCTCCCTAGTGCTTTGCATCCCCTTATTTGGCTACGATTTCAACCCCGGGAGAGAGCTCAGCTCCAGACTTAGGAGGGAGAAAGGGCCAGAGACTCAGGGGTTCCATGTGTCTCTAACTGAGCAGCATGCTTGGTGGCTTCTATGACTTTGAGTTCTCTTCTGCATTTTTCTTCCTCTGTTCCGGAGCTTCTCATGCTATCCTCCCCTGGCAGTTGGTAGCCAGGCACCATGCAGTCTGTCTGGTCTCAGTGTCATGGCCCTCCAGGCCATTGGACCGTTGCTCCACTCATCTTCAACGTTCACCACACTTGTTTCTTCCAGGTGGGGCGAGACCATCACTGAACCTTAGAAGGCTGCCCATGAGCATCTACGTCCTCGCCGGTGCAGGATGCAGAACATTGTCCTTGTGGACTCCGTTAGGCTAATTTTCGTTGGTGTACCCCAAGACTGGTCCTGAGCCCCCAGACCCACCGACTCATTCCCCCAAGGTGTTTGGTGAAGTCTAAGAAGCATTCTTGAGTTTTCCCTCTGTATGTTCCACAGCATTCGTGGATGTATTTGCAGAAAAGGTAACTACCTACTTACATACAGCCTCTCTCAAAGCTATACATATAGATGGGACCAGGATGCATTCATCCCTGGTCCTTTTGTTTCCAGATTGTCCTGGGCCCAGGGAGCTGGGGGACCCTAATCCCAGCCCTCCAACAACCAGCAGGGCACATTGGGCAAACTCTGAACAGTTTATTTCAGGCAATTATCTTTGCTTGTTGTGTGCAGTCAACATTGTGACAGCTGTCGCCTTCCACATCTCATTTTCTCTCTTCCAAGCAGCATTCCTGGGCCAGTCCCTCCACAGGCGCTCAGCGGTCCGTCCGCACGACAGCATTCCGCTCCGAGGAGCATGCGCTCCTCAGTGTTGACCTCGTTGTTTTTAACCCCTTGGAACACGTTTCATCCTCTAGACCATCTCAGGCACCACATTTGTCCATGATTTCTGACCCTCTGCCACTGTGGGGACACCAGTCGCCAGCATTCTGTTAGGCACCGATTTGCATCTATTTTGGGTCAAGGATGGTGAGACTTGGTCTCAGGCACTTTGGACATGGTATCAGGAGAGACCAGTCTCTGGAGAAGGGCATTATGCTCGGTACAACAGAGGTGCAGGGACAAGGAGCAAGGTGCTCAGTGAAATGGATTGGCACCGCAGCCGTCACACGTAAGGCCCACTGTGAAGAGGTGCGTAATTAGGTGGTGTTTCCTTCTGTGGTACGACTTGATGGTGCTGAACCACAGCACCCACAACACCCACATTTTCTGTCAACAATGTCAATGCTCCTCTGTGTCACACACGCACATGCGCACACGATCTCTCACACACACCCCCTCATGCACTCTCTCTCATACACACACTTTCTCACTGGAACACACAGTCTCTTACCCACAACACCCACACTGTCTCACATATACTCTGTGTGTCTGTCACACACATCCTGCCACTCTCTTACACACTCATACACACTCACAGATGTACTCTTTCTCTCTTACACCCTGACTCACCTCCATGCTCTATCTTTCACACACAGTTTCTCTCCTACACACTCACACACTGTCCCACAAATATAGTCTCTCTTTCATATGCACTGCCTCTCGCACCTACATGTTGCTGCTTTCTCACACGCACTCGGTCTCTCTCTCCCACACTCACACACACTCAGATATCACCTATCTCAAACTCTGTCTCTCTCACACATGCTGCCCTCCATTCATACTCACCCTCTGTCACACACAGTCTCATACACTCTCCCTCCCTCTCACACACTCAGATTACATACACACTCAGGCATAACCTGTCTCTCACACAGTCTCTTGAACCTCAAATAAGGGGTAAACACAGGACAGACGCCAACTCTGACACTCCATCTGCTCGGCTTGGGTCTCCACCAAGGGACTCTGGGTAATCCCCAGGCCACCTTCCAGGACAGCCTTTCCTGTGATCCTACGGACAGGCGGCTCCCAGTGAGCCCTGCCGAGGCCCTGGCACAGC